TGTTTTAAGAAAGTGAGGAAACCTAACAGAAAAAGCCTTAAGAGCCATGAAAGGAAAAGAGACAACAGGAAGAATAGAACTAGTAGATGACCACACTAAAGAGAACCGAATAAGAGTCCAAGTGCCTGATTCTAGACTCGGACAAGCCCTAAAAGCAGAGGTGGGGCACTTGTCAAATTGATGAGGCAGATGGTTTCAGAATAAATTTGATTTAAATTAAAGCAGATTCTAACAGAAATGTTTGTTTGCAGCTTCCTTTCCCCAAAAAGAATTTTTAAAAATCCTCAAACTAATTAGTGTTATTTCTCCCTTATTGAAGGGGCTAACATCTAGGGCCAGACAAGGAGTGATACCGTTTTTTGTAGATCTAGAGAAGTGAAAGAATTGCATTTAGGTCTGAGATGGAAGAAGGATAGACATGAAGATTGTGATTTAACAGAAAAAATCTAGCGGAAGGAGAGACCCTTGGATCAACAGTGACAACAACTAGTTGCCAAGAGACTTATGATTTAAACTTCTTGAAATGTATTTTATGCCAGCCTTATATATGTTTGTACCTCAAAACCTCTTTATAATAAAGATGTTTCCAGATTTCAACTAAAATATGTAGATAGGTTATAATGTAGAGTTCAAGAGAAAAAGAGGAAAGATGTTGTAAAAGCCAGTTAGGTTTTCTAGAAAAGAAATCTGAAACCCATTTGAACTGGGTTTCCTAGTTTTTTACATAAAACTAAAGAATTACCTTACCTTGGAGCAATGTTAAATTTAACAGTTTTTAGTGTCTTGTTATATTTTGTGGGAATAGTTCTCACAATAATTACAGTAACTTGTCTTTTTTCTTTTTCTTTTTTTTCTTTTTATAGAGAGAAGATTGAAAAAGCATCCCAAGTGGTCTTCATGAATGGGGAAGAAATATCTGTGGAACATGTGGACATGAAACAAGTTTATACTTTTATTTATGATGTTTCATTCTGGTCTTTTGATGAATGTCATCCTCGTTATGCCAACCAGAAGACAGTCTATGAGACACTGGCGGCACCACTCCTAGAAAGAGCCTTTGAAGGATACAATACCTGTCTCTTTGCTTACGGTCAGACTGGCTCTGGAAAATCATACACGTAAGTTGTATTGCACATGTATTTATTTAGAAATGTTTAAATTTTCTTTTGTGAGAAGTAACAATAGAATATAGTTTTTGCTGGGCACTGTGGTGCATGCCTGTAATCTCAACAACTTAGGAAGCTGAGGCAGGAGGATCACAAGTTTAAGGCCAGCCTGGGCAACTTATGAGACCTTGTCTCAAAAAAAAAAAAAAAAAGCCAAAACAAACCCCAAAGGACTGGGGATGTAGCTCAGGAGTAAAAAGCCCTTGGGTTCAATCCCATTTCTAGAGAAAAATACCAGAATATAGTTTTGAAACCACATAGATCTGGTCTCTGGTCTCATCCATTATTATGTACCAGTTTTTCAAACTTTGGTGAGTTCCTTACTTCTGGGCTTTAGTATTTGCAGGAGATGATTTACCTTTTAAGTATTACTGGCTTTTTTACTACAATTTATATTTCTTGTATAAGCTGAAGCCCAGAGAGGTTATTTTATATTATGAGAATTAATAGTAGGGAATCTTAGTCTCTGTCTAGTGTTGGGCAGATCTTAGGAACTTATATCCATCCTGTATTAACCTGTATGAGCCATTGTCATTGGGCAAAAACATGGCTAGAAATTTTTGGACACTTTTATATATCGAGTAATAGATAGCTTTCCCTTTTATTTATGTCTTATACAAGTACCTGGTTTTATTTTTAAAAAATTCCAATGAAATATTTTTAAGTCAATTAAAGATAAGACAGCATGATAGAATAACTAAGGTTGACAACAATTAATAACTATTATAGAAGATTTTGAATGGAGAAATAATAAATGTCTGAAGAGATGAATGTCCCAGTTATCCTGATCTGACCATTACACATTATATACATATGTTGAAACATACCACTGTACCACATAAATATGTGTAATTACTGTGTCAGTTAAAAAAAAATATTAAAACAAAGGTAGGGTTAGGATTGTGGCTCAGTGGTACAGCGCTTGCCTAGCATGTGTGAAGCACTGGATTTGATTCTTAGTACTGCATATAAACAAATGAAATAATGTCCTAGAAAGAAATATTCAGAATTTTAAGAGCAATTAGCATTGAGTTCTTACTAAATTCCAGGCACTGTACTTATACCTTTTGTATTCTCACAAACCTTTGAATTAGATACCCTGTTATTCCTATTTTACAGAAGAGGAATTTGTGGTTTTGTGAGGTTAAGTATTTTGTCCAAGGTCACATCTAATAATTAGTAAAATAAAGATTTAGATTAAGGTAAATTTGGCTTTGGAGCCCTGATTCTTAGATACTATGAACTTTAATTAGTTTGTTTGCAGCTTCCTTTCCCCAAAAAGAATTTTTAAAAATCCTCAAACTAATTAGTGTTATTTCTCCCTTATAATGTATTTTTCAGGATGATGGGATTTAGTGACGAACCAGGAATAATTCCAAGATTTTGTGAAGACCTTTTTGCTCAAGTAGCCAAAAAACAAACCCAAGAGGTATGTTCAAATTCAAATCGGTGTCATAGCCTCTAAGGAAATGCTTAATACACTCTTCCCTGGAACACAGGTGTAGAAAGGATGGGATGGGATTCTAAATTCAGAAGCAATTCTTATAGGTAGACATTAATGGAGGTGTTTTCTCTTTTGTCTTCTCTTTCTTTGCTTAATTCCTTCTGTGTATGCATAGTGGCTCACAGTGTGATCCTTATATCTCTTACATTTGTCTTTGTAGTCAAGCAGGTGCACACACTTAAATAAGGACAGCAGGCAGACTCTTGGACAATGTGAAGTTGAGAGTAGTGAAGCTGGAGTTGGAACCCACATCCAACTTTATAAGCCGTGCTTTTTTAGCTCTACTGTAGCTGAGCAGTTCCATGCTGGCTTCTCCTTTCACTTACTCATTCTTATGTTCAGCAAGTGTTTACTGAGAAGCTCCTGTTGCTAGGCGATCTCTTAGACCAGTTTTTCTCAAATGTGCTTGATCATGGGAATTATAAGGGATGTGGCAGGGTCAGTGGTATGTGTGCATGTCTGTGCATGCATGTGATGCACACGTGATCCTAAAAATCTTTTCTGAAGATTCTAGTTAGTCTAGAGTATAGCCTGGGAATTTGTAATTTGTAATTTATACTTTTATAAGGGAAATTGAGAAAGTATTGTGCTATATTTGGGGATATTGAGTTAGAAGACCTAGCCCCAGTAGTCAAGGGACTATAATAGGAAAACTGGGTCAGTAAACATCCAGGTACAATCCATTGAATGCTAGTGAATTTGAGTAAACACTATGATGACATTGTCTTACTCCTTTCTCTGTTGCTATATACAAAAGATGGTAATTTGTAAAGAAAAAAATATTTCTTACAGTACTGGAAACTGGGGAGTTCAATATCAAGCATCAGATGTGGACCTACCTGTTGCCTCATAACATGGCACAGGGTATCACCCGATGAGAGACAGGAGTGTGCTAATTCAGGTCTCTTCTTATAGAGCCATTAATTCTATTTTGCAAAGACCTACCCTAAGTCCTCAAGACCTCATCTAACCCTAATTATCTTCCAAAGGCCTCACCACCACCTCTAAATAACATAAACATTACAATGTATGGGTTTTTGGGGAACACATTCAAACCAGAGCAAGCAGGAATAGGGATTTGAGAACATGTAAGGTTGGGGGAGACGAGGGTTTTTTTTTTTTTGTTGTTGTTTTTTAGAAGATAGGGCAACTTAGTTTGTTTTTGAAGGACATGGCAGTTTAGCAATTATAAGGTTGAGAAAAAAGAGGGGAAGGACATTTCAATCAGAGGGAGTAGCTGTGCAGAGATTTGAAAGAAATCTATAAATTGTTTATTTTGTTTTAAGCATGGAATTTGAGGTGGAGGGTGATGAGAGGAAACTAGGGAGGCAGGCAGAACTTGGCTGAAGAAGTATTTAACAAACCAAGCTTCTGGAAATCTAGAATGCTATGGAAGTTTTTTAAGCAGGGAAATAATATAAGCATATTTACTCTTTTTAAAGAAAGATAGCTCTGGCCGAAATGGGAGAATGGATTGAAGGGAAGTAGAATTGGATGGAGAAAGACCAACTGTGGGACTTGATCTGGATAAGACAAAACAAGGAGCTGAACTAGGTAGTGATAGTAGGGGATGACAAGGGAGCAAACACTGAGATCTTAGTAAGTAGGACTGATACGACTTGGTGCCTGTTGGGTGAGGGGGGTGAGGGTGAGAGGAACCAGAGTGATACTGAGGGCATTTACTGAGAATACGAGAGGAAAAACAATTAAATATTTGATGAGTTCTTTCTTCCTGTTGGATACATTGCACCTTCGTTGCCTTCTTTTTCCTCTATCCCCAGAAATTAAATGGAGAATAAAAGAGGAATTAGGATAAATTGAAACACAATTGTCTGAAGGCTTTAAGATGGAATGTGATTCGAGGCCAAGTTTAGATGGAATAGAAGAGTGAGGAAGCCATGGGCTTGTGGAGCAGAGGGTCTTTTGTTGACTGTTCAGATTTTGGAGGGAGAACAATTTGAAGGTAGTATAAATCAGGGAGACATAAATGAAGTGAAGTCAGCGGTCTTTGGAATGATTTTGCAGAACTGGGAGGTTTAAATTTTACATGGAATGACTGTACAACTGATTTGCAAAACATGCAAAGAATTTAAAAATAATTGCTGTGTTTCTGTTTCTACTAGATCAGCTATCACCTTGAAATGAGCTTCTTTGAAGTATACAATGAAAAAATTCATGACCTTCTGGTTTGTAAAGGTGAAAATGGGCAGAGGAAGCAACCAGTAAGATTAAAACAATTTATTATTGTTATTTTAAAATTTCTGATTTTTACAAATGCATACAATTATGTGAATTATTTGGATAATATGGCTTAAAGTTTTACTAAAATGATTTTCTATGATAGTAAATGCCTGGGACTACAGTGTAACTATGTTGTTATTTAAAAAATAAGCTGAATATTATCACTGGTAGAAATTAAATTAGTTAAGATTTAGCCACTTTTTATGTTAATCAAGTTGTGTAAAAGTTAAAAGGTATTCTAACATTTAGTTGGTATGAGTAAAACACAAAATTTCTAATAGTCTGTAAATC